CAGAAATGTCATTTTGCAGTTTTTTTTTGTTTTGTTTTTCTTAACATTAGGAATCAAAAAAGGCAAATTTTGGTTAGATTCAGGTGGAACTGCCTTTTTTGTTTTTTTTTTTTGGCAAGGATACTTCCTGGGAGGCACAATGTACTTTATGCAGCATCACAGTGGGAAACATGTATCTGGGTGTCCCACTCTTAATGATTGTGAAATTGGTCAGTGGGGCCAGGCACAGTGGCTCCTGCCTGTAATCCCAGCGCTTTGGGAGGCCGAGGTGGTCAGATCACTTGAGGTCAGGAGTTCAAAATCAGCTTGGCCAACATGGTGAAACTCCGTCTCTACTAAAAATACAAAAATTAGCCGGGCATGGTGGTGCGTGCCTGTAATCCCAGCTATTTAGGAGGCTGAGGCAGGAAAATCGCTTGAACCCAGGAGGCAGAGGTTGCAGTGAGCAGAGATTGCATCATTGCACTCCAGCCTGGGGGACAGAGCAAGGTCCATCTCAAAAGAAAAAAGAAGAAATTCGTCAGTGGGTTCAGCTGGTGACAGCCTGGTCCTTCCAGCGCGGTTTCCCATCAACCTTTCATCTAATGATTTTATTTATTGCCGATCTCTGCTTGAATCAATTGGTTCACTGGGGACGAGAAAAAAAAAGGATGATTTCCTAATTCCCATTTTTTCAACATGTATTAGCTATAATTAGTCTGCAAGGAAGAGTCTCCCTCATCAGCTATGGCTATTTGCTAATCACGTAATCACGATAGGCCTGCAGAATCCAGTTTTCCAAAGGGCATCAGACTGGTCCACTTAGGAAAGCTTTAGGGACAAGATGAGAAATAAAGACCTTGTAGGAGTCTAAGAATGAAAACATTAATTAGATTGCAATAATTAGGTGCAATAAATATTCTTTTTAAAAACACATTAGATTGCGAGGTAGATACTGTATACCCAGCTCCTACTATACTCTAGATCAGTGCTACCCATTGGAAATATCAAGTGAGCTCCAAAGCAAGCCATAGATATAATTTTAAATTTGGTAGCCACATTAAAAAGTGAAAAAGAGGGGAAAATAATTTTATGTTTTATTTAACCCAATATATCTAAATATATCAACATGTAATCAGTATAAACATTACTGAGATCTCACATTAATCTTTCATGCCGGGTCTTCAAAATCCAGCATATCTTTTACATTTATAGCACATCTTGATGTGGACTAGCCATGTTTGTAGTGGTCACTAGCCATATGTGGTGAGTGGCTACCTTACTGGACAGGACAGCTGTAGACATTTTATTATATTAACTTGAACCTTCACAACAACCTTGCAAATTAGACATTACCTGCTTTTTTTAATTTTTTTTTTTTTTTTTTTGAGACAGAGTCTTCCTCTGTCACCCAGGCTGGAGTGCAGTGGTGCGATCTCGGATCACTGCAACCTCCGCCTCCTGGGTTCAAGCAATTCTCCTGTCTCAACCTCTTGAGTAACTGGAACTACAGGTGCAAGCCACCAGGCCCGGCTAATTTTTGTATTTTTACCATATTGGTCAGGCTGGTCTGGAACTTCTGACCTCAGGTGATCTACCCACTTTGGCCTCACAAAGTGCTGGGATTACAGGCATGAGCTACTGCACCGGCCTTTTTTTTTTTTTTTTTTTTTAAATATGAAGAAGTTGAGAGTTGGAGAGGTGGAACTTCTTGTAATATGACCACTGAATGCTGCAACTGGGGCTTAGCCAACTGTATGAATGTGCAGAGGTGCCTACTTCTGTTCCCATCTGGACCTCTTAATATACAGGAGCCTTATTTCCTCTTTTGTAGGGCCAAACTCCACCTGATTTGGGGCCCTATCTCATTTCTTCTCAAGAACCTTCTCTCTCCAGTTTAAGGCCAGCTTCTCCCTCAGTGGCTTCTGTGCCGAATTTTATTCAGCACCTCTCATTCCCCCCACCACCCACCTCCGGCCCGTGACTAGTTGATTGACTCCTTATCATTACTCTTAACTGTCCACATTTCTCCAGCTCCTCTGCCACTTGGCTGCACAGAGCCACCTTCATTTCGACGCTGACACCTGGGATGGTCTCTTGGCTTCTCTGCTCATGTCCTCTTAGCCTCTCTCCAATTCTCTTCCCACCAGCAGCCAAGTGACCTTGTCAAAACCTCACTAACTTGGATCATGTCACTGACCTGCTTTGGATTCTCCCCCAGTTTAAAGTAAGCACCACGTGGTCTGTGAACCCTGTATGAGCCGGCTCATCACCAAGGCCAGCCTTCTCAAGCACCCTCCCCGGCCTCCTCGGACTTCAGCTTTCCCACAGCACGGCCTGTGCAGATGCTGTTGCTTCTGTGTGGTCCAGCTTTTCTCAACCTTGGGACTACTGATGTTTTAGGCCAGGTGATTTTTGTGGGGGGTTGTCCTGTGCATATTCCATGTACAGCAGCAGCCTCTCTCTCCCTCATCACTTTCCAATCAGTTTTAACAATCAAAACTATCCCCAGGCCTTGCTGAATGCCTCCCTGACCCAAAGGGCAAGAAATTCCCTGGTTGAGAACAGCCAGCCTGGAGTGACCTTCCCCTTCTCTGCCTATCAATCTCCATCCAGAAGCCACCTTCCCAGGGCGCTCTTTCCTGACTCTCCAGGTTAGAGCAGGCCTCCCTCCTCAGCTACTACTCATGCGACCCTTTGATCATTGTTTTCTCACTGGACTGTCCACTGGTGTCCTCTTCCACCCACTTTAGTATTTAGACAGCCTAAGAAAGTATCTGGTACATAGCACTTAGTATGTGTTGAGTGAATGGGGAATAAAGGTATCTAAGGCCAGATCTGTGTGCTCCCAACCGACCCCCTCTTTCAAAAGTCCAGCCTATCACTTATGGAGGGTCTACTGGGCTCTCTAAGTTATGGCTATGAGAGATCTTCTTATCCCCACTGTACAGATCGGAAACTGGGGCCTGAGCAATGCTCAATGCCTTACCTATGATACCGCAGGGGGAGACACCAAGGTCCAAGTCTAGGTTTTCTCACCCCAAAGTCCAGGCAGGTTGGGTGTGAATATGGACATAGACGTCCAGTGTTTTGGTGGAGGCCTCAGTCTTCTGTTCCGATATTTTGTCAGTAATTTGAAATAAACTGTGAAGAATGGCCGGGCACAGTGGCTCATGCCTATAATCCCAGCACGCTGTGAGACCAGGGCAGGCGGGTCACTTGAGCCCAGGAATGCAAGACCAGCCTGGGCAACGTGGCAAAACCCTGTCTCTACAAAAAATATAAAAATTATCCAGGCAGGGTGATGCATGCCTGTAGTCCCAGCTACTCAGGAGGCTGAGGTGGGAGAATCACTTGAACCCGGGAGGCAGAGGTTGCAGTGAGCCAAGATCGCACCACTGTACTCCAGCCTGGGTGACAGAGTGAGACCCTGTCTCAAAAAAAAAAAAAAAAAAAAAAAAAAAAAAAAAAAAAAGAGAGAGAAAGAACATCTGTAAGCAATGTGACAGGATGAGAACCTCAAGGGGCCCTGTCAAGGCCTGTAGGCTACGCCTGACAGAATGAACTTGGGAGAGAAACAAATGTAAGCCTGCGTTTAAATATTTAAAAATCCAAACAAGAACAGGGAAGAAGTGCTGCATTTTTACATGTGCTCCATATGTTAAACCACCCAACAAACCAACACCCAGCTCCAAGCCTCTTTCCAGGTTTGCTGATGTTTGCTATCGAGGAAGAGAAGGATGATGAGGTTTCTCAAACTTCTGACTTCCCCATGTTTGTTTTGACACCTGCCTCTTTGACAACTGTCATTAGCGATAAAAACATTAAAATAGTAAAAGACTCCAAATAAGAGAAGAACTGCGAGGCGGCCTTCCACTTCAGTCTCATTGGAAAGGAAAGCCAAGAAACAAAGAGGGTGGCTGCCTTAAGATGGAAAAAGAAGAAAAGGGAGCCAGTGTGGTATGCTTCCAAAATCTGCACAGACCAAAGACTTCCTGAAATATCAATCAAATCAATCACTGTGTTCTCTGGAAAGAAAACAGCTACGATGGAAATGCTGGAAGCTGAAGCAGTGAAAGCTAAGGGAATTTGTCAGTAGGCAGGGGTCCAGGTTTGCATAACTTGATTTGGCACTAGTTTTAGAATCGGTAGGAAAAAAAAAGAGGATCCTGAAGGGGCTTTTGTAAGAAACATCATTTTTTGATTACTCTCAATAGACAAGTACTGTTTCAAAAAAAGAAGTGTGCTTTAAAAAAAATCAACAAAGCATATAGTGCATCTATCATAGGACAAGTGAAGCACTATAGGAACATAAATAAGAGGAAGATGGTCTTCGCCACTGAAGAGAGCTATAAATTATTACTGTTGTTTTGGGACCATTTAAGAAATATTCGAAGGCCAGGTGTGGTGGCTCACGCCTGTAATCCCAGCACTTTGGGAAGACGAGGTGGATGGATCACTTGAAGTCATGAGTTCCAGACCAGCCTGGCCAATGTGGTGAAACCCCATGTCTACTAAAAATACAAAAATTAGCCAGGCGTGTTGGTGCACGCCTGTAATCCCAGCTACTCAGGAAGCTGAGGCAGGAGAATCGCTTGAACCTGGGAGGCGGAGGCTGCAGTGAGCTGAGATGGTGCCACTGCACTCCAGCCTGGGAGACAGAGTAAGACTCCATCTCAAAAAAAAAAAAAAGAAAAGAAAAAAAAAGAAATATTTTACACACAGCACTTTATTTCTTGATCTATTTCAACCACCAGAAGTTACAATTACTGACTTAAACACTACACAGATCTGCCCCCAAAAAGTGAGTCCAGAGAATCAAATTCCTCTCAGTGTGGATCTATTCACTCTGTTCTCTGAACTTGGAAAACACTGTAGTGCAATTCTATGAAATGGTCCCCACGTCAAATAGAAGCCACTTAAAAGATGATATGGTCACTTTGATTTCATTTTAAGGTAAAGGAGGATATAAAGTTCACTACTTGAAAATCATCGATTAAGAAAGCAATTTGACATTTTCATGCTAGTTTGTGTAATAATTTTACTGCATAAGAAATTACAGAGATTGCATAAATCATTAGGTCAACAGCATACAGAGAAGAACAAAACAAAACATTGTTTGGATCAAATAACAGCAGGAACAACTCCATTCTTAAAAATACCACAAATTCCCCGAATGTGGCTCCATTTGAGAGAAAATTTTGCATTTTCTGGATAATGTCTGTAGTTTCATTAAGCAAAATGGAAAACGGCTTTTCAGTTAAAAACACTAAAAAGCAACTTACACAGATGTGTTGCCCTCTTCACCTTGGATGTAACAAAAATAAAGATGTGAGGCTGCCTGCTTTTGCCTAAAGCATGGCCTGAACTTTCAACTGATAGTAATTGTTTATGTAAAATATTACATTACATAACCTCCTATGTATTGAAATTGCACAAGTCAGAGCATCCAAAAACTACTGCAGAAGTCAATTTCTTCCTATGGGGAAAAGCATATAGATCTAGATATACTACATGTTACAATTTCCATTCCTCATTCCATTTGCCCTATTCAAAACATAAAAATACAAATAAATATTTCCTTACAAAGTTCACAGTATATTGTTTTAAAAAAAGAGATAAAAAAACAAGAATCTTAATTTGCTTTGTCATTAAATAAAAATGCTAATATATAGACACGTTCAATATTTATACAAATTGTAGGGGTCAGTCTATCCTTTCTTGGTCATAATTGAAGTTTAATAGTGCTAGTCCATACACGACAAGGCTCAGATCCCAAATGAAAGTTCAATTCTACTAAAAGTTGCTCAAGATAATTTTTCTCTTTTTCTGTTTAATTAAAAAAGACAATTTTGGAATTTTAGAATTACATTTGAGTTGTCTGAAAAAATACAATTTCAATGAAAAATCATATCAAGCATTCAAGAGTATATTGCTGGTGCTATAATCTTTTTGCATGTCTTTGTTTTCATAGAAAAAATCAATAAAATAACATGTCTAAGACTTTTAAATGGTTAAATGTAACCACATACTATTAATGATATGCCTCATGCACACACACACTCAAACTGAAAACATGAAGGAAAAAGGATCAGACGTCTTTCTTTTGCATTAGTTCTAGCTTTCTTCTTAGCAGACCATAGTTCTCCTTAGTCCCTGATGCTGTGGGGTCAAGCTGCAAGGAGATTTCATAGTGTTTCTTGGCCAAGTCTAGATGTCCCCAGCGATGATAAAGCACAGCTGAAATAGCAGGAGATAAATTTCACTGGGAACGCTTCTGAGTAACGTGCCGAATTCCTACCCTCTTGGACAAAGAAATATTACCGATCCTATGCAAACAGCTTTCAAAAGTCAATTGTATGAAACAATATTGTTTGTACTGAAAACTTTATTTATTGTAATCACACTCCCTGATGATTATCCATTTACTGCCAGTTACTCCTAGGGCTCTTCATAGCACTAGACAGGATACATCTGCCTATAGGAACATTATTACATAAAGAAGTAAGAAGACTACACGCAATGTCTCAGTGCTGCCATGAAATTTCCAGGAAGCAAGGCTGGGTATGGGAGGTGGGGGTGACGGATGCTAGGCGCTGCCTAGAGCCTTGACTATGCAGAAGTTCAGCTGTTTATTTTAAATAGTTATTTCCCCACACCATTTGGGGAAGTAAAAGCTTGTGTGGGGCCATTTGGAAATAAGGCCTCTAATATCAAAATGATAGTTACAATAAACCTAATCATTAGGATGATTAGCCTCTGATCATGGCAGTGATTTTGTTAGTAAAACTAACTTTCTATATGGGCAGAAGAGCACCTGTGGATGCTTGTTGGCTTTTGTGAAGAGAAGCTTCAGAGTTGGTAGAGAACAGCTTTGGTCCAAAAACATTTCTGTGGGCATTCTAAACATCACCATGCTATGCTCTAAACATCTTAACCATGGAGACACAAAAGGGTGCAAGAAATGAATTCCAGGGAATAAATGATTATAAATGCATTTTAGCCAAGGCATAAGAGGATGTAAGAAAGCAGAAGACCAGGCTGGAAGGGGAAGGTCTTCTCTGTAAGAAGGAAGGAAAAGGAGGTAAGTTCAATGGCAAGCTTCCAAAGAACATACGATTCATTTACTAGGATAACCCTTCGTAACCATAGCCTCATTCTCTTGATCCGATCTCACCCTTCTCAGCTTAACACAAAGAAGGACAATCTGAGTTTCATCATGAGAAGGTGATAAACAGAGTGGGCAACTTTAGGGCCGTTCTGGTCATGCAATTAAGATTTGGAAGTGTGGCTATCACTTTGCTATCTTTAATGTAATAACAGAATCACACTGTAAAGCCAGGTTAGCTTTGAAAAAACTACTCTCCCAACATCAATTTTATAGACATGCACCCACTTCATTAAAGTAACAGAATTTCAACACGATTCAAGTTGAACATTTTTCTTACCCAAATTACCATGGTAACTTGCAGCATTTGGATTTGCTTTAATTGCCTTGAGGAATAAAGCTTCAGATTCCTAAAAAATGAGAAATATAAAAAGGAAGATATTTATTGTACACGAAGCAAAAGCAGTTCCCAGTTTTATCACCTATGGTTGTCAAACTTTTAACCACCTCCTTTTGCATCACTGCATTCCTCTAGAAACACTCAGAAGGCCCAGGGGGGCCACGCTCTGCCAGAGAGAGGCTGACAAGGGGCAGCGGGAGGGAGCAGTGGCCGCAGAGAGGGGACGAACATGTTCGTGAGTGCCACCACCTGCCTCCCTGCAGTGGTTGGACTTCCGCAATGTTATGCAAGTCGCCCAGGTCAGGGTGCGTGATGAAGACAGGAGGCCCAGGGAACAGGAGAGGGCTGAGCCGTGGAGCACGCCCATGCCAATGCCATTTCCAGAGCTCCCAGGGTAGGAGTTGAGGCCCATTTCCTCTCCCCCAAGAACCTACAACACTCTGGGCAGCCCAGAAAGCAGCCGCATCCATCTGGAAAGGATGAGCAGAAAAGAGGAAGGAATGGCCACCTGTCAACTATATTGTCACAGTACCGGACATGACCATGACCAAATGCCCCTGATGGGGGTGAACTGATTCTTGTACAATCTTGCATTTCTTCCAAGTCATCCTCACTTCCAGCCTGGCCACTAAGAGGCAGGGCAAAGTGTCTTCCTACCCTGATCACTGCTGAGAACTGCTGGCTGGATGGCCCTTTCTACCATAATGCTGATAAATAAAGACGCCTAACCTGTTTTTACTGACATGTGCCCTGGGGGTGCTGTTCACTCCATCCACCTTCACATTCCTTAAGGGCAGCATGTTTTAATCAGTATCACATGCTGGGCATGGTGGCTCATGCCTGTAATTCCAACACTTTGGGAGGCCAAGGTAGGCAGATCACTTGAAGTCAGGAGTTCGAGACCAGCCTGGCCAACATGGTGAAAACCCGTCTCCACTAAAAATACAAAAATTAGCCAGGTGTGGTGGTGCGTGCCTGTAGTCCCAGCTACTCGGGAGGCTGAGGCAGGAGAATTGCTCCAACCCAAGAGGTGGAGGTTGCAGTGAGCTGAGACTGCACCACTGCACTCCAGCCTGGGCAAGAGAGCAAGACACTGCCTTAAAAAAAAAAAAAAATTGGTATCACACACTGAGCTTAACCAACCAAATTTGTTGGTGTGGGGACAGTTCTAGTGCCTTCTACCTGGGTCATACATGAATTTTTCCAGGTGGGCTTCCCACATCTGGGACTGTGCATTTTATAATGTGCAAGACCACCAGTTCCTTTGCCCTGTTACAGCCTGTGGTACCCCTGATAAATCGGCTGGGAAATGTGGGGGAACCACCTCCAAAACCATGACCTTTTGGACAGAGCTGGCAGAGAAATATTTATATTTTAAAAATGTCATCCAAGAGGGACTTAAGAAAGACATCAGGATAACATATGGGATGTCAGTTCAAAGTCAGTGTCTACATTCCAAGTTTCAGGGGCTGAAACTCCTTCCAAGAGGGTTAAGACTCTGGCCATATCATGAAGGCTGCAGAAAGAAAGTCTAATGGGTTGTGTAGCTTTGCAGGGGTTTCTGAGTTGCTGGGCTGTTTCTGATGATTTTCAAACATTTCCATTTAAAACCTAAAACTTGAGACACAGGAAGGTCAGGGAACCAAATCTACTCAAAAATGCTTCCCTACCTGTAAATGAAGTAGTGTTAACTGGAGAGAAATGGCTTAGGGACAAAAAGTGAGGAGTTTTCTAGTGTTGCTAAATTCATTTATTTATTCAGCTAAGTTCTCAGATGCCTGTGAGGACGAACATCATTCAGGACATTGAGAAGTCAGCAGTTTGGGGGACACAGTGGTGCTGAAGACAGGGAAGGGCTCAGATCTGACAACTTGTTAGAGGGCTACTGCTCTCAGCAGGGCTGGGCCCAAACTCTGCAGGGTGAGGAGGAGGCCGGTGTGAAGGAACAGGGATGAGGAAGAACAGGCAGAGAGCACTGGGCCAGGGGGACAAGGGAGGAAAAATGAGTCAAGATTTCCAAGCCAGGGCAACAGAAACATGACAGCATGTGGACAAAAGAAGGGGTATCAGGAGGAAGGGCTGGTTTGAGAGGAGGTGCGGGTGGGCCGGCCTGGCTCTATCCAAGTCACAGGGGCAGCCCCTGGGCCTGTACCTGGGGCTGGGAGTGGGGTTGGATGGGCCTCTTTAGAACGTAGCATCTGTGAGTATTCAAAGCCCATGAAACGTTCATCTATTAAATCAGGGCTTCTAATGGCCTCATTCAGGAAAGCAGTGAACTGTTTATAAATTGATCTTCTGTGGAGGTCTCTGGATGTGTAAAGACCTAGGCAATGAGCCGATTTATGCCAATGAACCAATGAACTCACATTTAGAGTTGGGGATATTTTTTTCTCAACAGAAAGGGGAAAAATAATGTATTATTTTCTAAAGCATATTAGACAAAATGTAATTAACAAAGGTGTAGGACTTGAGAAAGCCTTGCAAATTGTGTCTCTAGGTAGGAACAAGCGCTAGTCTCTACGTCTAGGTGAGGAAGCCCGGGTGGGTGGAGGTCATTTCAGCCACAGCAACCACCCAAGAGTACTCTGGAACACAGGGGCCACTGTGCCTCTGCTAGAATAGGAAGGGTAACATGGGTGATCTGATGTGAAGTTGAAATCGTGACTCACACAGGAAGAGAGTTATTCTCTATTCTCCCTCCTTCCTTCTGATTGCATCGGGCTGAAGTCTGCGCTTGGTGGTGGTGTGTGGGCCCTACCCTCAACACACCTGCCAATCTCTCCTTGAAGCTAAGAGAGCTCAGAGCCTTGGCCAGCAATAGCATCTAGCTGGGATTTAGTATGATTATTTAACTTTCAGTTACCCTGTATTTATAGTAATGATGCATTGTTTCTTGTTTAAATATATTCGTGTTAAAAATCTATTTAAATAAAAATGTCAAGTAAATAAGGTAACATCTAGATGTGGCAAGAAAAAAAAAAGTCATAAAGGTGTGACATAAATGTCTGGAGCTTAGGAAACTGACTTTATCAACATAACCTGCACTTAAGCTACCGGGCCATTGGAATTAGCACTACAAAAAAAGAAATCAGTACGAGAAGCAATGATTTAAGCACTGAAAAACATTACTTTTCTATTTTTGCTTTACCACATTAGCTTGAAATAGGAAATTAAATGGCAAGAAGTAACATAAATTTTAATACATTTTTTTTTTTTTTAAAGATAAATTTTAATACATTTTTTTTTTTTTGAGACAGAGTCTCGCTCTGTCGCCCAGGTTGGAGTGCAGTGGCGCGATCTCTGCTCACTGCAAACTCCGCCTCCCAGGTTCACGCCATTCTCCTGCCTCAGCCTCCTGAGTAGCTGGGACTACAGGTGCCTGTTTTAATACATTTTAATGATCCCTAGAGATCCACTGAATGATTGAATGCTCACTATACATACATATATATATATGCATATACACATTAACCATTTGATAGTTGCAAATTATGTTGTTGTGCATTTTTTTGTATCACCTTGTCAAGAGGTTGGGCAGATCACTATCTCCATTTTATAGATGAACAAATTGAGGCCCAGAGAGGCCGACTGCTGTTAGGTTTTAAAAAGGGCTGCTTAGATAGGATAAAAAGGTGCTTAGAGCCACGCAGATATAACGAGAACACTCCCTCTGCCTATCAACACCTCAAAATAGGTTCTGGAAGCCTGAACATTTCAGGGTCAAATGAGAGATGCATGCGATCATTTTATAATTACTTAACCGGGTGCTTTGTAACTGCCTGACAGCAATAGAGGTACAGAACTGGGACTGAAGGCTTAGCTCCAACCTCAAGCCTCCAGGCTCTCTGAGGAGATTTACCAAGTGCATGATAAGTAAAACACACGCGCTTGGGTAAAAAGTGAGTTGTCGGGCAGCAGACACCTGCCCTGCCATCAAGATAGCTGGGCTGAAGGGTCTGTTCACCCAGCCCTGCAACTCACCACCATATCCCCTCTTCTCTGGAACATCCTGCCCAGTGCTCTGCAAGGAAACAGACCCTTTCACTCCATCCTGAAACAAGCAGTGCCAGGGATGCAGCTGACCATTAGCAACCGGTATCATTTTTGCATTACAAGAGGAAAATCTAAACAGTTGTTTAAAATTCAAACCCTTAATAAAAAAAATACATGGAATGCTTGCTTGGTGGCTGATGCCAGGGCTCAGGAAGCCACATCATGTTCCCCCCACTTGGTAGCTCCTGAAGGTCTCATCGTGAGTTCTGTGTTTCAGATTTCATCTTCTGTTTCCTTACGTTAGGCCCAGCGCCTTGGCCTTGATAATTAAAATGCAAAATGTGTAGAGAAAGAGGAAGCTGATTTCTTCATTCTGTTTTACAGAGTATTTTCTAGTTTATTTGCGGGTTGGGGGAAGAACAACGTGAACTGGAAGCCAAACGAACTCTGGGTTCTGTCCCCTTAATAGAAATTCCAGCAGTTTACAGACTGTGTGATGATAGAAAAATCAATACGATTATATAAGCCAAGTCTTCAAGAAGACTCGCTATAGCTGGGTCACTGGAGGAGAACTGAGACTTGGGACCTGTCCCAGGCTCACAGATGGCTGGAAAGGTCATTAGAAGGGAAACCTGTAAACCTCACCTCCTTACCCTGCTACACAAGTAGATTCATAAAAAATAAAACTAAACCCTCTTCAAAAAGCTATTTCTGGAGCAAAACCTAGAAATTTAAAAAATGTATAATGAAGCTATTCAACTCCCCAACATTATAAAACTAGAGAAATGCATGAAATTATCTCACCATTGTTACAGAAAATTATACTAATAATGACATGTATTAAACAGAAAAAGAGAAGTGAATAACACTGGACCGATGTTAGCTAGTTGCTGCCTTTAGGTCTTATACATAGGCTGAGTGATCAAAATAAGATATAGCCCCTGATTCTAGAATAAAGTATTTCTCTTAAGAAATGACTAAGGCACTACTTCTGTGATATCTGTGTTCAACACCCAGGATGCTAGGTAAAAATGTATATTCCCTGACCTGACCTAATCCACGAAGCCAATCCCTTGTAGGGAGAATCTGGGCATCTCTGCTTTAACAAGCTCCCTCAGTGATTCTGATAGACAAAATTAAAGTTTACAACCAGTCCCCTTCAACACACAGGGAGTTCTGCACAGCCTATTCCTGCTCCACCCTGGCTGCCAACTGGAGCAAAGATTTAGTATCTTGTGGTTTTTGTTGGCCAGAAAACTCTGGGCCTTGCTGGTGGCCTGTAAAACTCAGATAAAGAAAAACCTGGAAGCAGCAAGAACCAATCATGCATCCTCCATGGGTCGCTTATTCTTTTGTGCAGAAGCTGGAACCTGCAGATAAAACCCAGAGCTCCAGCCCATGTGCAAGTGACAGAGTCAAACCCCACTGTGCCGGGGCGGGACCGGGGCACCTCCGGGGATGCACTGTGGCTGCCCGAGTCCTCCTCTCGCACCAGCCTGCCCGGCCTCTGCGGCCAACCATTCCACAGTTCCCTGCCTGCTCCTGCCCCTTCCTTGGGCTTCTCTTCCTCTCTCCACGTGTGAACAACGGTGGTTAATTCTGATGAGAAAGGACACTGGGTTTGGCCCCCACACTGCTGTCTTTGAAGCAACTTTTCCAGGAAACAAACTGGCCAAGCCGCATTGGTACACCGCTGCCACTGTTTTGGCCTGATTCCTAATTTAACTGGGCAGAAGTAACACTTACGGCTTCTGTCAGATGCTGGCATTAACTGCAAGAACTCACAGCCTGCGGTTTACGCACCTTGTATTTCTGGGATTTCCCCAGCACGTTTGCCAACGAGAACATGAGAGAGTGATCATTAGGTATTAATTCCAATGCCTCTCTTCCAACTGCTTCAGCTTGGGCTAAATTACCTGGGAGTAAAACATGGAAAAATAAAAGACATGTTAATGTTGTACTCGCATTTTAGCCTCTAACTAACAGGGTTTATGTGCACAGCACATGACAATTATGAATAAACTACTGAAGAAAATCTGTGTAGATCATGTAATACACACCCACATACAAATACACACACGACCTTATCAGTGGCAAAGCCACTGCGATTCAGCACATTTCTGACACAACATATAAACAGCTTTTGATTAACTTCTGTAAAACCATCTGAAACCTAGTTTTAATTTTTCCTCAGATACCAGTTATACCCAAACAAATCTGCAAAATAAGAGGATGACAGTAACACTTTCATAACTGAGAATTTATCACATTGAAGTATACATTCTGTATTTTCCCTAGAAACAAGCATGTATCTGCTCTATACCATGCAGATGATCAAATTAACACCATCATTAACATATTTTTATTGACACATAACTACATATTGATGGGGTGCATGTGATATTTTGATACATGCATACAATGTGTAGTGATCAAATCAGGGTATTTAAGACAACTATCACCTCAAATATTGATCATTTCTTTACGTTAGGAACATTTCAAATCTTCTAGCTTTTTTGAAATATATCATAAAGTGTTAACTACAGTCACCCTACTGTGCAATGGAACACTAGAACTGACTCCTTCTATCTGTGTGTGTACCCATTAACCAACCTATCTTTGTCCCTGCCCCGTTCCCAGACCCTAGTAACTAGTTCTGCTCTCTAGCTCCACAACGTCCATTTTTTCAGATCCCCTATGCACATGAGAGCACGTGATATTTGCCTTTCTGTTCCTAACACCATCATTTCTTAAAAGACATTTGGAGTTTTAAAGCGATCGAGGCAGAGTAACTCCTCATTAATTGAATCTGGTCTGCTCGGGGATAGGAAACCAGATCTTCAAGTCAATTAGCATCATATAAAAAGAAAGAGTCCATGGCTCTGAGTGTAGACTGAGGGGGCTCGTTTGAGTGAAGTCCCTTAACTTGGGGCATGGACCTAGCACTATCCATGTCATTAGCCCCAAGGCCATTCTTGCTCACTTCTGGGTGCTCCCAGCGCCCTAAAGGATGGCCAATGGCAGATAACAGGCTTCAGAAGAAACAAGATACTGTCATACCTCTCCCCCATTACTCAACACCAGTTCTAGATGAAGTGTGACGTTCCCAGAATTCACATTCCGGTATGTCTAAAGAAATTCCATTTTCTTTCTTCTTTTTTTTTTTTTTTTTCCTTGAGATGGAGTTTTTGCTCTTGTTGCCCAGGCTGGAGATGCAATGGCGCTATCTTGGCTCACTGCAACCTCCACCTCCTGGGTTCAGGCAATTCTCCTGCCTCAGCCTCCCGAGTAGCTGGGATTACAGGCAGTGGCGCACTATACCCAGCTAATTTTATATTTTTAGTAGAGATGGTGGGTTTCTCCATGTTGGTCAGGCTGGTCTCGAACTCCGACCTCAGGTGATCTGCCTTGCCTCGGCTCCCAAAATGCTGGGATTACAGGTGTGAGTAACTGTGCCCAGCCTAGAAATTCCATTTTCTAGAAGAATAGACATTTTTGTAATAGAAAATATTTAACTTCATATTTTTTTTTAAAACTCGGGGGAAAAAAGCACAATAATCTCTATTTCCTAAGTCTTCAGTGGCACTTTACTGTGGAGCCATGTCCTGAGATTTGTTCCATCCACCTCTCTGTACCTGTATTGTCGAGGAGTATAATCATGTTGTTCCAGGCTAGGCTGTGCTCTGGTTTTAGCACGGTGGCATTTCTCCACGCGTTCAAGGCATCCACGTGGCGATTGAGATCTGCATACTGAAAATAAAACACACCAAAAAATTAGTATTCCAAGTTTCCTGCTTCCTCGTTCCAAGACATTATGAAACAAAAGAAAAAGCCCAACAAACAAAAATAAAAAACCAACCTAACTTTAATTTATGTAGCTTCTAGTTTTTCATATCAACTCACTGAATCCTCAAAACAATACCAATGAAGTAAATACTATTGTTATCCCCATTTTACAGATGAAGCAACTAAGGCACGAGGAAATGAACTTGCCCAAAGTTATAGACTAGAAACGGTAAAGCAGGAATAAGAACCAGGTCCAAACCTGTAATGTCTCATTTCCTGTTATTTAGTGATTTTAGGAATCAAATCATATTTCAGACTGCTGAAATACTGAAGCAAGCCTCATCATTAGTCTTTTTCACTAAAGACTTCATAAGTTCATTGTTGATAAAGTATTACTTAGAATAGTAAACAAAATGTTTCTCATGATCAAAAGCTATGTGTCCAATTCACCTTCTGAAGGGTGGTCTCGGGGCCTCTTCCTGCCTGCGTCTAACGTAAATACAAAAACAGGAGCATATCAGACATACTTTGTAAAATCCTTGGAAAAGTCTCCTATGGTAAGGTAAAACCTCTTGGCACTTTCAAGTTTGTTTGCTTCATTTAGGAAGGAGAAAAATACCTGTTGCTTTCTTATTTTTTATAATTTCAACTTTTATTATTATTATTTTTGAGATAGAGTCTCGCACTGTTGCCCAGGCTAGAGTGCAATGGTGCGATCTCAGCTCACTGCAACCTCCACCTCCTGAATTCACGTGATTCTCCTGCCTCAGCCTTCCGAGTAGCTGGGATTACAGGTGCACACCACCATGCCCGGCAATTTTTTTCTATTTTGAGTAGAGATGGGGTTTCACTATGTCGACCAGACTGGTCTTGAACTCCTGACCTTGTGATCCGCCAGCTTCTGCCTCTTAAAGTGCTGGGATTATAGGCAGGAGCTACCGCGCCAGGCCTATGTATGTATGTATGTGTTTAGAAACAGAGTCTTGCTCTGTCGGCCAGGCTGGAGTGCAGTGGCATGATCTTGGCTCACTGCAACCTCTGCCTCCCAAGTTTGAACAATTCTCATGCCTCAGCCTCCTGAGCAGCTGGGATCACAGACACGTGTCACCACACCTGGCTGATTTTTCTATTTTCAGTAGAGATGGGGTTTCATGATGTTGCCCAGGCTGGTCTCAAATTACTGGCCTGCCTTGGCCTCCCCCAGTGCTGGGATTACAGGCATGAGCCACCACGCTCGGCCTTCAACTTTTATTTTGGATTCAGAATGTACATGTGCAGGTTTGTTGCATGGGTAAATTGTGTGATGCTGAGGTTTGGGATATGAATGATCCTGTCATCCAGGTAGTGAGCACAGTACCCAATAGTGTTTCAACCCTTGTTTGCCTCCTCGCCTCCCCACTCTAGTAGTCTCAAGTGTCTGTGGTTGCCATCTTTATGTATTAGTGCTCACTTATGAGAACATGCGGTATTCGGTTTTCTGTTCCTGCATTTATTTCCTTAGAATAGTGGCCTCCAGTGGCATCCATGTTGCTGCAAAGGACATGATTTTTTTTGTATGGTTGTGTCGTATTCCATGGTGTATATGTACATTTTCTTTTTCCAGTCTACAGTGGATGGGCACCTAGGTTGATTCTGTGTCTTTGCTATTGTGAATAGTGTTGTGATGAACATATATGAATGCATGTTTTTGCATATTTTTGGGGTTTTTTTGAGACGCAGTCTTGCTTTGTCACCCAGGCTGGAGTGCAATGGCACGATTGTGGCTCACTGCAACGTCCACCTCCCTGGTTCAAGCAATTCTCTGTCTCAGCCTCCCAAGTAGCTGGGATTACAGGCACCCGCCACCATGCCCAGCTAATTTTTGTATTTTCAGTAGAGATGGGCTTTCACCGTCTTGGCCAGGCTGGTCTTGAACTCCTGACTTTGTGATCCACCTGCCTCAGGCTCCCAAAGTGCTGGGATTACAAGCGTGAGCCACCGCACCCAGTTGCATGTGTCTTTTTGGTGGAATGATTTCTTTTGGGTATATAACCAGTCATGAGATTACTGGGTCGAATGGCAGTTCTAAGTTCTTTGAGAAATCTCTAAACTGCTTTTCACAATGGCTGAACTAATTTATATACAGTGTCCAAGCATTCCTTTTTCTCCCACAGCCTTGCCAGTGACTGTTGTTTTTTCACTTTTTGATAATAGCCATTCTGACTGGTGTGAGATGGTATTCTCAATTGTGGTTTTGATTTGCATTTTCCTAATGATTAGTGATGATGAGCATTTTCTCATGTTTGTTGGCTGCTTGTACATCTTCTTTTGAGAAGTGTCTGGTCATGCCTTTTGCCCACTTTTTAATGGGGTTGTTTTTTGCTTGTTGATTTGTTACTTATAGATCTGGATATTGGATGCATAGTTTATGAATATTTTTTCCCACTCTGTAGGTCGTCTGTTTACTCTCTTGATAGTTCCTACTGCTGCGCAGAAACCCTTTGGTTTAATTAGGTCAATTTTCGTTTTTGTTGCAATTGTTTTTGAGGACTTAGTCACCAATTTTTTCCCAGGGCTGATGTCTAGAATACTGGAATACTGTTTCCTAGGTTTTCTTCCAGGATTCTTTTTTTTTTTTTTTTTTTTTTTTTTTAATAAAAGACAGGGTCTTACTCTGTCATCCAGGCGGGAGTGCAGTGGTGTGATGTGGTGCAACCAGTGGCTCACTATGGCCTTGACCTCCTGGGATCAAGTGATCCTCCCACCTCAGTCTCCCAGGTAGCTGGGACTACAGGCACATACCACCATGCCAAGATAATTTTTTTGGATTTTTTGTAGAGATGAAGTTTTGCCATGTTGCCCAGGCTGGTTTCAAACTCCTGGGCTCAAGCCATTCGCCTACCTTGGCTCCCAAAGTGCTAGGATTACAGCTGTGAGCCACTGAGCTCAGCCTCTTCTAGGATTCTTATAGTTTGAGGTCTTATATTTAAATTTTTAATCTATCTTGAGTTAATTTTTGTGTATTGTGAAAGGTAGGGGTCCAGTTTCACTCTTTTGTGGCTAGCCAGCTATGCCAGCATGATTGACTAGGAAGCCCTCTCCCCATTGCTTTTTAAAAAAAAAAACTGGTTGAAGACCACATGGTTGTAGGTGTGTGGCTTTATTTCTGGGTTCTGTATTCTGTTCCACTCATCTGTGTGTCTGTTTTTGCACCAGTACCATACTGTTTTGGTTACTACAGCCTTATAGCATAGTTTGAAGTCAGGTAATGTGATGCCTCTGGCTTTGTTCTTTATGCTGAGGATTGCTTTGGCTGTTCAGGTTCTTTTTTGGTTCAATATGAATTTAAGAATAGCTTTTTTCTAATTCTGTGAAAAATGACATTGGCAGTTTGATAGGAACAGTGTTGAATCTGTAGATTGCTTTGGGCAGTATGGCCATTTTAACAATATTGATTCTTCCACTCCATGGTCATGAAACGTTTTTCCATTTGTTTGTGTCACCTCTGATTTCTTTCAGCAGTGTTTTGTAGTTCTCCTTGTAGAGATCCTTCACCTCTTTGATTAGCTGAATTTCCAGGTATTTTACCCTTTTTATGGCTATTGTAAATGGGATTGCATTCTTGATTTGGCTCTCAGCTTGAATGTTATCAGTATATAGATATGTTTCTTACTTTTGTACACTGACTTTGTATCCTGAAACTTTACTGAAGTTGTTTATGAGTTCTAGGAGCCTTCTGGTAAAGTCTGCAGGCTTTTCTAGGTGTAGAATCACATGGTCCATGAAGATAGATAGCTTGACTTCTTCTTTTCCTATTTACATGCCTTTTATTTATTTTTCTTTCCCGATTGCTTTGGCTAGGACTTCCAATACCATGTTAAGAGTGGTGACAGTGGGCATCCTTGCCTGGTTCCATTTCTCAAGGGGAATGCTTCCAGATTTTTGTTGCTTCTTTTGAGAGGGAATGTTAACATTGGTAACAGAATATAAAATGGCTAGCTCTCAATTTGCATAGTTAATAAAAGCACACAGAGAGAGAGAGAGAGAGATGGATTTTTTTTACCAGGTGACCCTGTTGCCCTCTTATCTCAGTTCAAATGCACATTTTATTTGAGTGTACTTGATCCTTTAACTCTGTAAAAAGTACAAATGATCACAATTTGTCAGAGTTTAAGACTGTTTACTTACTCACTGGCAAGTCTGTCCTTTTTTTAGATGACAAAACCATTTTGACTTGTCCTATGCTACACAGCAAATAGATAGCATATTATGCAAGAAAAAGAAAGCTTTAATGGAATTATGGAAACACTTATGAACATCCATTTGCTAAAGATGTTCTCGGAATTTCCCATGAGACTCAGAAACTCAAGTTACAATATTTTTACCCCTTTAATGAGGAAATGATAGGAAAAGTTCAGAAAATTAAAATAATTTGGGATGCTTAATTGTTCTAACACTTAATTATCTCTATTTGATGTTCCAGTGATTCCTCAGATCAATTCACTCCACCATAATATGCATTTGAGTCACTTGGACAAAATCCATGGTGACATTTGAACACACCCAGAACAACCAACATAACTTCATTTATCCAACATGACAAAATTCGTTACTACTTTACTGTTACTACTACAATTATTACTGCTATTTATTGAAGAATAGACTGAATCAGATAAAATTTGGTTTCATTTTGTCTCAAACCCTACTCATCTTATAGCATCTACACAAAGGGAACAAACTTTCAGGGAGGCAGAGAAAAGTGGTGATTTAACCAAAACTGCTCATCCAGGAAGTAGACGGGTAACATCAGTTACCCAGCAGTCCTACGCCCACCCTTCTGTACTCTGCTCCAAGAAGCAGGGGCTGGGAGTCTGCAACTACATTTCCCAGGTTTCTTCACCCTTTGGTTCCTTTCTGTCAACAGTTGCCAGGTGGTGGGGAGAGGGGAGCAGTCCTTTCCTCCCACTCTCACTCTCTCCTTCCTTCCCCTGGCAGTGTCTCTGAAGTGACTACATCCCCTCCTCCACCGTCCCAGGGTGGAAGCAGTGGTCTGTCTCCCATGATCACAGCTCTTGAGGCTGTGGTAGCTCCAGAGATTGGAACCTCTTGTGATTTCTTAAATCCTGGTAGTGCTACTTTCTCCTGTCTGTTCCCAAACCTATAGGATTCCCTTTAACCTCTGAGTTCATGTTACCATCCCGTTTTTGCTCAGCCAGCCTTCCAATGATAGTCTAACCAATTCCCCATATTAAGTCTTCTCTATCTAAAACACTTAGAATGGTTTCTGTTTTCTTGAACACATCCAGTCCTTCCATCATGCATTGTCTTCGGTAATCCCTCTAGCCACTATTACTGTAACTTTCTAAGATTAGTAATACGTCCCAGTAATCGCGCTCTTCCTGATTTCCTGTTCCACAAGAGAACTTCCTTATATTCTTTCCATATTGGGGTCTAGAAATCAAAACAAATCTCTGTCTCCTGTTACTAGAGTGATGTCTTAAAACACCAACAATTAAAAAAAAACCCTCTTAAGTTATTAAGTTCTTATTTGCCAATATATAAATGGGTTGGTCGAGTTGTTAAAGATTAAGCTCTTAATGCTTTTAAGCTGTCAAACAGGAAAAAGCTGGATAATTAAACCACAATGGAGAGCAAAAGCCTGAAATAAGCAGGAACAGTTGGCGGAAGGGAACACAGGAAGACCATTTCACGGTAGCAGCGTAATTAGTAAACAATATAAACAAAAAGCAGTACAAGGTCTCAATCTGTTCAATGCTACAGATGATCTTCCAAGTGAAAGTGTAATGAATCCCAAGGACTACATGATGAAAGCTAGTACTTTATACTTTACATTCTTCCCTTTGGACATCACTCTTACAGAAGGAGCATTTATTATAAATCCTCTATTTTCCAAATCCCAAGGAACTGCAGTGACGGGCAGTTATTAGGAGAGGGGAGAAGACTAAGCTGTAGAGCCTAGAGGATAACCTGGGAGGCTGTGGGCAGACCTACTCACTTTGTGAGCAATAAAGTAACAGAAGAGCAACCTCCAGAAAAGGAAAAAAAAGGGACAAAAGAAGAATTCATATGAATATCAAGTCTCATATTTAGTCACTTGACTACTAGTTTAACAGATAGTGAACAGAAACGGTAATCCCTACACCCATATATTCATAACCACCCAAATGCATGAATTCAGGTAAGACCTCATGTGTTCCCATCCTCCACCCCACCCCTATTCTCACTTCACTAACTTTGTGAGGATCGCCCCTCCTTTGTATGTGATTGAATTTTGAAGTCACCACTCATAACATTATGTTGAGGTTTCACAGCCTCCCCTTCACCCCAGGAACAAACAGCCGATCATTATAATAGTTTCAGCTCTCCTGGAATCTTCAGGTCTCACAGAGAAAGTGGTTTCAACATCAAAGCAGGTAACTAGGTCATAAAGCACAGAATTTTAAAATGTAAAAGAACAAAAACGCACGCAAGGTCAGTGGTTCTGGAGAAAGTTAATGTGAGACAAAGGAGTATCTTGCCATTAATCTTCCTTGTTCAAGCATCATGCCATTCCATGGGTTCAGCCACATTCCTGCCACCTTTGCCTCTGTCCCCAGAAAGAAGTAATTCCTCCTTTCCACACTGGAGTCAGCACATAGAGGACGTATCTTCCTATGGCATATCATAACTGAAACATGTTTTGCATTTTTTGAGTAATAAAAATGCAATGATATGGTTTGGCTGTGTCCCCACCCAAATCTCATCTTGAATTGTGGCTCCCATCATTCTCATGTGTTGTGGGAGGGACCTGGTGAAAAATAACTGAATCATGGGGGCGGTTTCCCCCATACTGTTTTCATGGTAGTGACTAAGTCTCATGAGATCTGATGGTTTTATTAGGGGAAAACTCTTTTGCTTGGCTCTTATTCTCTCTTGCCTGCTGCCATGTAAGTTGTACCTTTCACCTTCCGCCCTGATTGTGAGGCCTCCCCAGCCACGTGGAACTGTGAGTCCATTAAACCTTTGTTTCTTTATAAATTACCCAGTGTTGGGAATATCTTTATCAGCATTATGAAAACAGACTAATGCATGCAACCACTTTACTTTAATATTTCTAACACAAGCATTACTCGTTCACGTAAAGGGACTTCTGCAGAGGGGGAAAGGTCACATTTTACCGTTAGCCAGACGTTCCTGCCATCTTGTTTTCTCCATTCATAAGATTCTATCTCCACAACTCGCAAAATCATGGCTACCCAGTCCAGAAACAAAGACAGTAAGACCAAAGACATTCACATTATGGTAAAAACCAAAGCCTCGTTTTCCAATAAATGTAAAGCAATGTTTTCTAGGATTGTTCCCCACAAACCATGGCTTCTCTCTGACATGATTACCCTGTCATCCAAGTTCAGACAGAGCTGCTTCCCAGATGCAGGGCCAACGACAGGGTACTGGAATCACCTGGGTGATTCATTATTGATATTTTACTTAATTTTTTTGAGGCAGAATCTCGCTCTGTTGCCTAGGCTGGAGTGCAGTGCCACAATCTTGTCTCACTGCAACCTCTGCCTCCCAGGTTCAAGTGATTCTCCTGTCTCAGCCTCCCAAGTAGCTGGGATTACAGACATACACCACCATGTCTGGCTATTTTTTGTATTTTTAGTAGAGACATGGTTTTGCCATGTTGGCCAGGCTGGTCTTGAACTGATCTCAAGTGATCTGCCCGCCTTGGCCTCCCAAAGTGTAAGCCACTGGGCCCAGTTTATTATTGTTATTTTAAAAATACAGATTCTCTATAGAGTCTTTGATTCCCTAAATGTGAGATGGGGTGGGACAGTCTGGATGCATGTCAACTTTGGAAACTACTAGTTAGGGTTTTGTTTTTGTTTTTGTTTTTTTTTTACAGAGGGAAAAGGAGCCAATGCAACAGCTAGTCTTTACTGGAAAGATGAAACTTTACAGCACATTTTGAGTAACTTGGTGCAGGCGCTCAACGCACCAGCTTGTAATGGGTTCCACAGCTGGGGCATTGCTGGGTCTTGCCTTTGTGCAGCCAAAACCAGATGACAGCACTGTTGTCCTCTTCACAGATGCACCCACTATTTTCTTGTTGGTGAAGAAGGGGGCTAAATTAGGGTCTTCCTTGGTGCCTAAAGCTGTCTTGGGGGGTAGTACATTGTATGGGTCCAGTCCCTTCCTTGTGGTCACCATGACCTCCATCTCTAAGCCAGTCACCTACTTGTTATCAGTAGAAACACCACCTCCAGGATGGGTGTGGTGGCTCACGCCTGTAATCCCAGCACTTTGGGAGGCCGAGGTGGGCGGATCATGAGGTCAGGAGATTGAGACCATCCTGGCTAACACGGTGAAACCTTGTCTCTACTAAAAATACAAAAAATTAGCCGGGCGTGGTGGTGGCGCCAGTAGTCCCAGCTACTCGGGAGGCTGAGGCAGGAGAATGGCGTGAACCCGGGAGGCGGAGCTTGCAGTGAGCTGAGATAGCACCACTGCACTCCAGCCTGGGCCACAGAGCGAGACTCTGTCTCAAACAAAACAAAACAAAACAAAACACAACACCACCTCCAGAAGCTATGGCACGCACCGCGGCCGTGCCACTGGGAGAGCCGGCTCTCAGGGCCTGTGTGCAGCCAAGCGCTCCAGCTCCATGAAGTATCCTTGAAAGCCATCACACCCACAACAAGCAGCAAAGGGAACTACCAGTTTTGACAACATAAGAATTCTTTAAAGTGAAATTCTGTCTCAAAAAACAAAACAAAACAAAACAAAAAAATAAACAAAACCAAGAAGCTTCAGGCCTTTAAAATGAGGGTAAGCAGGTATCTCTTTAGAACACGAGGATGCTTTCCTATCTGTAAGGCTAAGCTGGGTAAAATCTGGAAATCTACATATAAACTTCCGTGAAAGTCACATCACTATGGATATATTCCAGTTTGGTTAACATGAACAAAATTTTTTTTAATTAGCAATTTTTATCGAATACATCTAAATATATTAGGAACGTACATATCTGGTTTCTTGAAACCAAATTAAATGGTTGATTATAGGAAGAATACAACCATTCGTGTTTTAAGAATTTTGCTATGTGTGTGTCTCATTTTATTTTTGTCAAGAAAATCAAGAGCAATCAGATCTTCACAAACATCCTGTCAATAACCAAAAATATAAAGCTACTATAGAACACATTATTTTTTATTTCCACCAAATAATGTCAAAGCCCTTTTAAGTAAATCCCATGCCCTCCAAAGCTGCTTTTGGGAGAAATGCTCCCTGCAGATGAAGAGCTCTGCTCCCTTGAAGAAGGAGAACAAGGGAGCTCAGAAATCATACTACGGATTTGTTTATTTAATTTCTGTTCTTATTCAATTTTTGTTTTAAAAACAGAGAAACCGATGTTTATCACGAAGTTACCCGTTGGAGCACTGTTTTACGGGGCAGATGGGATTTTTAACATTTTAATTTATTCCTTGGTTTAACCTTTTGCCTGGGTGACTTCTTAAACTTGACTAATTCACACTGCACTGCTCTCTAATGAGAGCTTTAAAAAATTACTAAGGAAATCAAATAGCTACCTTCAAATGAGATAAAAACATGTGAAAGAACTTCATAAAATGTATGGGGTAGGTGGGTGTCACTATGTCATTTTATTATAAATAAGAAAAAGAACCCATCTTTCCTTCCGCAGGCATGGCACCCCGAGCTTACCAGACGCCCGAGGTTGTAGTAACAATCTGGGTATTTCCTTCTGTGTTTAATTGCCATCCGGTAACTTTGCTCTGCAGCTTCAAACCGTTTCAGGCTGTTCTGCACTATGCCTAGATTCATCCACGCAGCAGCAAAGTCTGGCCTAGAGGAGCAGTTTTTCACAAAGATAAACAAGAAGACAAAAGGCTTAGACGATGGAATGCAGGAGCTCCTTTCTTTGTCACTAGCATAATTATAAAAACAATGCTTACTGTATTCGAACAGCCAAAGACAGCAACTCCTCAGCTTCCTGTAGCTCATTCCTTTCTTTTAAGATATTTCCAAGATTATTCATGGCATGAACATACTTAGGATTTAATCTGGAAGTTGAGAGAAAAACCAAGCTGACCATTAAATAGTCAGTGTAAATTTTTACTGAACTCTCAGGAATCGGCAAAGATATTGTAAAGTTGGGGTCTTTAAAGGAATGGGTGTTTCATACCAGAAAGTGAAAACGATCTGTGTACATAATTCCTCTGTAAGACATACTCGCCATACCTTACGGCTTCCCGGTAGTATCTGATGGCAGCTGTCTGGTTGCCTTTATCAGCCAGGTTTTTGCCAATGTTGTAGTGAACCTGCAGAGAGAGAATAACTGGGCCATCAGCAGATAGACTTCTTGTTCAGAGCCTGGACCCCATCACATCTTCTAACTGAAGACAAAAGGATGAGGAAAAATATCACCCACCAGAACTTTAGCTAAAACCTTACAGGGTTTCGGAGTTGCTTGTGCTTTCATCTCCAACCCTGTAAGAGGATCAGAAGAAAGGGGGTACAGGCATGGTACATCTCTAAAGCACAACAGAAGGGAAATAACTAAAGACCTCACCAGAGAAAGCCAGAAAACTACAAAGCTGGGCTTTTTAAAATTTTACTTTTGATTTTTAGAGATGGGGTCTTGCTATGTTGCCCAGGCTGGAGTGTAGTAGCTATTCACAGGTGCAATTATAGCGTACTGCAGCCTTGAACTCCTGGGATTCAGGGATTCTCTTGCCTCAGCCTCTCAAGTAGCTGGGACTACAGATACACACCACCCCACCTGGCTTGTTTTTATCATCAAAACCTCAAATCCCCCTCACCTACACACTCCACGAGAGTTGAGATAACAAAGTCCAATCTCATGTGGACATGAGTGGAAGAAAGCATGATTCTGTCCACCCATTTAAGCAAATATGGCCCTTTCTTGGATGACACCTTTCTTCTATAGCTAGCATCAAGAGCATTTTACTCTGTCTCTGTTCTAAGCAGAATGTTTATGGACTCCCCAAATCCAAATGTGGAAATCCTGACTCCTCATGTGATGGTGTTGGGAAGCAGGGCCTGTGGGAGGTGATTGGGTCATGAGGGTGGAGGCCCATGAATGGATCAGTGCCCTCGTCAAAGAGGCCCTGGAGAGCTCCCATGCCCCCTTTCTGCCACGTAAGGACACAGTGAGAAGACCGTCTGTGAACCAGGAGGCAGCCCTCACCACACAACCAACTGCCTGCACCTTGATGGGCTTTCCAGCCTGTGGCACTGTGAGAAGTGAGTGTCTGCTGTTGAAGCCACCCTGTCTCTGGTATTATTCTCACAGGGTCTGAGCAAAGGCCTCAGTGTGGCTGGAGCACGCAGAGCAGGGATGCACGCTAGAGAGCCCAGGAGGAGCAGCTGTGCTCGCAGGGAACCCTGGGCAAGGGCAGGCTTGGATCAGTCGTTGTCCTCAGAGCCATGAGGCTGGGGCGGGGCGGGGTCTGTAAGTGTGTGAGTGCCCCAGGGCTGCAGCAATAAAGCACCACACACTGAGGGGCTTAACACAACACACTTCTCTCACAGTCCCGGAGGCTGAGATCACGGTGTTGGCAGGGCCGGTCCCATCACAGGCTGAGAGAGCGACTGCTCCCTGCCTTTCTCCTGTCTCATGGTGTTTGCCCGTAATCTCTGGCTTGCAGATGCCTCGCTCCCACCTCTGCCTCTGTCTTCATAACCATCTCACCTCTTGTCTGTCTCCCTGTCTTCAAAGGACACCAGTCACATTGGATTAAGGGCCCACCATCCTCCTGGATGACCTCATCTTAACTGACATCTTAATTACATCTGCAACAACCCTATTCCCAAAAAAGACTATACTCCCAGGTCCCAGGGGTTAGGATTGGAGCGTAGCTTTTGGGAGGCACAATTCCACCCAGAGCAGGAGGCCGGGGCGGGAGTGGCAGAGGTCGTCATCAGGTTTATGTCCATAGGAAACAAATCCCGTGGTGGGAAAGGGATGTGAGTGGGGGAGAAGCAGATGTCAGGGCCTCTGGGGAGGCTGTGGCTGCAGTCCTAGGAGAGAGGTCAGCATACTGAACTAGGGTGCTGGTGAATCTGTGGAGGGGTTTGAAGAACAGTGAGGAAACAAAAAGCATAGAAACTGGTGACCAACTGATAGGAGAGAGGGAAGTGTGTCAAGAACAAATGGTAGGTTCCCAACATTCAGGACAGAATGTGTGTGATGGCTTTCAAGAGACGTGATGGGCGATCAGGCTTGTTTAGGGGGACAGGATAGGCCGACGTGGAAGTCCACGGTCACCAACCATCTCCAAAGTTCTTTTCATTTTGCAAATCTGAAACTCTGTACCCATTCTCCCCTCCACCGAACCCTGGCAACCTCCGTTCATTTTCCATCTCTACGCATTTGACTCCCATGTACCTCATGTAAGTGGAATTGTACAAGATTTGTCCATTTGTGTCACTTGTGCCAGAATTTCCTTCCTTTTGTGGCTGAATAATATTCTCTTGCATGAGTACACCACATTCTGTTTGTCCATTTGTCCCTGGATGGACACCCTGGGAGGCCTCTACTTTTTAGCTGTTGTGAATAAAGCTGTTGTGAACATGGGTGCACAAATACCTCTCTGAGTCTCTGCTTTCAGTCCTTTCGGGTATTTGCCTGGAAATGGAATTGTTGGATAACAGAATTCTGTTTTTAATTTTTTGAGGTACTAACATGGATAATTTCATGTTATACGAATTTTACCTCCATTAAAAAAAAAGAGAGAGAATGAGGAAAGGATTTTCAATGATTGAAGAGGGGGTGAAGTAGGCTGGATGGAACGGGGCTCCCAGCTGCCAATTTACTAGGAATTCTCAGGTCACCTTGGAATGAGGGCATCAGGGAAGCCAATGTCTGGTAGTTTCTCAACTATATGTGGGCTTAGAATAATTGACAAAAGAAAAAAGTAGGGACCTGAACTAAGCCCAGGGCAGCAAGACTACACAAGCTCAAGAAGACTACAATAAAAAGAATGTGTTGGCTGGGCGCAGTGGCTCATGCCTGTAATCCTAGTACTCTAGGAGGCAAGGTGGGTGGATCACCTGAGGTCAGGAGTTCGAGACCAGCACGTCCAACATGGTGAAACCCCATCTCTACTAAAAATACAAAAATTAGCTGGGCATGGTGGTGCACGCCTATAATCTCAGCTACTCAGGAGGGTGAGACAGGAGAATTGCTTGAACCCAGGAGATGGAGGTTGCAGTGAGGCGAGAGCAAGCCACTGCACTTCAGCCAGGGTGACAGAGTAAGACTCTGTCTCACACACACACACACACAAAATAAAAATAAAAATAAAAAGTATTTGTTGATGACCAAAAGCTCCTTTTGGGACTTTACAATACAAAGGGAGTAGCAAGCCCAGAGGAGGTGATGCTGTAGAAACTCAATCAGAAGCATGAAGTGTGGGTGCTGCTAACAACAGTCACGGTGAATGGTAAGATGGTGTGTAGCTGGCACGCCTCGAGTGGCACCCACCAGCCGGGTGTGGTGTTGCGTGCTGTGTGATCGCAGTCTCTCCTCACGGTGGCTCAAGGCCGTGGCTGCTGTGACCCTCTCTTCTGAGTTGGTAAACTGCTTCGGGGCCGTTCAGCATCTCATCTAGGGCTGTGAAGTTGGACTGGAACCAGGCTCTGAAGCCTGTGTTTCTTCCCACTAGATAATACACATTGATTACAGTGCTGGGGGATGATGAGGGTGACTGCTCGAGGCACTTTCTAGATCCATTCATTCATACCACTGGCCTTTTTCCTAAGTAAAATCACATTTCTTTTTATATGGTATTGCCCCCCAAAGTTCACATTAAACCCTCAGCACCCCAGAATGAAAATGTATTTGGCCGGGCGCGGTGGCTCAAGCCTGTAATCCCAGCACTTTGGGAGGCCGAGACGGGCGGATCACGAGGTCAGGAGATCAAGACCATTCTGGCTAACACGGTGAAACCCCCTCTCTACTAAAAAAATACAAAAAACTAGCCGGGCGAGGTGGCGGGCTCCTGTAGTCCCAGCTACTCGGGAGGCTGAGGCAGGAGAATGGCGTAAACCTGGGAGGCGGAGCTTGCAGTGAGCGGAGATCCGGCCACTGCACTCCAGCCTGGGCGACACAGCGAGACTCCATCTCAAAAAAAAAAAAAAAAAAAAAAAAAAAAAAAGAAAATGTATTTGGAGGTAGGGTCTTTAAAGAGGTAAGTAAGGTCAAATGAGGTCATATGGTTGGGCCTCCATCCATATGACCCCAATCCAGTCGGAATGGCGTCCTTACGGGAAGAGGAAATATGGACACAGACACCAGAGATGTGTGTGCACAGAAGACAAATCACGTGAGGACACAGGGGGAAGGCACTGTCTGCAAACCAAGGAGAGAGGCCTCACAAGAAACCAACCTTGCTGACACCTTGATCTGCCAATTCCATCATTTACAACTGTGAGAAAATAAACTGTGGTCTAAGCCACCCAATCTCTGTGTCTCTGTGTCTCTGTGTGTGTGTGTGTGTGTGTGTGTGTGTGTTTATAGCAGCCTGAGAAGACTAACAAAATCTCGAAATACAGAAATGGTTTAAACACATTCAAGTAACATTATGTCAGAACACTACTTCCAAATGACCCCTGAAAACACAACCACATCCTGCCTTATCTATCTTAACCTACAGTTACAGCACTTCCTCAAACATACTTAGATTTCTGGAAGAGTATGCAGCAGTGCATATTAACAGGTTTTCTTAACGGCCAATTTAAAAGCATGTAGATTTATGTTTAACCACTCTGATGAAAGGACTCACAAGCAGAGAAATCGCAGGCGATAAAAATGTGTGTACTACTGTGCACTACACAGTAGAATTTAAACTTTCTGCATCAAATTATTGTCCATTCATAGGCATTTTTGTCCTTAAACTGTATTCTGGAGGAGGCTCAGTTAATGCTATCGGTGAAGTGTGTGTTGAGAAAAGTGCTCTAAATGATTAGAATTTGAGCTTTCCCCAACCCAGCTTGGACATATGACTTTACCTCCTCTCCTATGCACAAAAGAACCTAGGGTCAGATAATCCAATCTGCCAGTGATGTCTTTGTGGTCTTCAGAATACAAATATAGCTTCTACTCAGACATCAACACGACGCCCGCCTCTTCCGCCCCAAGCTCCTGCTGTTTCCCTTTGTTCCAGGCAAATTCTGTTTTCTCAATAAAAAGCCCAGACAAAGAGTTCAACCGCCCTCTGCAGTATAGACAGTGTTCTGTTAGACACTCAGAATGCCAGAGACCAGAAGATCAAGGGAGAAGGATGTGGGACTCTGGAACAGGAACTAGTTAAAAATCTGATACAGCCTTAGAAGGCAGGCCATCCTTAAGAACTGGTAAACAGGTTTAACCAGAGGCCAGCTTTATCCTATGGGTTAGGTAGAGGGAATTCTTTGAATAAAAAATAGCTGCCTAGATTGCAAAACAAAACAAAACAGTACAAAAATCTCACAACCAGGTCACTTAAAATAGTGTTTAGAGAGTGACTTTTGTTTCCCTGAAATACAAATGATTGGAAAAGCTTATTGATTCTTCAACTTTCCCCTAGCATTTGTGATGCACACGCTGAGGCAATGAACTAGCACAGGAGAAGTTGAAGATGAAACAACCATTACAACCCAGTGACATGTAAAAGCAAGAAAGTAAGAGCATTGGTTATGAAAGGCACCTTTAATACCAGGACTGATTTGTTATAAACATTCTGGCAACATCTAATGTTAAACTTAAAATGTTTTGAAAGCATAAAAATCCTATAGCATCCTGGGTCACTTACTCCTGAAGAAAATACCTCATTGTGGCATATGATCTGTTTCATTGCTAACAGAATTTATTACAGAATTGTATCACAGAGTTGATAGTATGACATACTTTTAAGCCTTAAAAACTATAAAAATGATTATAAGTATACTTGGTATCTCATCCATAGTAGTCTCAGTGAATTCAATTTCCATTTGGCTCAATTCAATAACTAACATTGAGTGTCTACCATATGCAAGGCACTGTGGGTAATTTACATGCAGACCAGGCACCCACCTACCTACACTGACATTGCAATCTCTCAGAAAAGATGAGTCTTAACTCATACATCTGGCCCTACACTAGAGCCAGTTGCCAATGTCTTACTTTATATTCAATAGATAGCAAATGAAACCAGTATAGAAAATATGTCCCCTATAATAATGGGACTGAAGGAAACCTAATACTTATGTGCATGCCCACAAGTGCACGCCCTGTGTTTTCTAGCCTGTCACATATGAAATCACTTCCTGGGCAGGTTTTTGGGTTCAGACATCACCTGTGTTCCATCCCCCTTATTTACTAGAGGCACCTGGGCACATGCATACCAGGTATCTCTCGAGCCACCTACATTATCAACCTAGATAATGTCAGTTTAATCTTGCTATGCCTCAGTTTCTCTCATCTGGGAAAACAGAGAAAATAATACCCTCTCTCTCTAAAAAGCTGAGTGACAGGATAACAGAGATGAATTATAGAGCCTTTGTAAAGAAATCTGAACTCCTTGTGATAAGGAACTCCAGAAATAGAAGGGGCAATTACTATGATTCAAACAGTAAAGGAAAAATAAAGCAGATCTATTAATGTTTATGAAATTAAATCACAGGCAATTTATTTTTGGTAGCATAAAATAAATTGATAAGTCAGCAAATCAAACTAAAGATAAAAGCTGAAAGTAATTCATTATTTTATCGAAGTCTCTTAACTGTAAAATATGAACGAGAGGTTTTAGTCTAAGAAAAGGTAAGTAGCCAGTATCTCTTATATATTATTCTTTACTTAAGGTTCATAACAAGATGTCAACTATTCATTAGTTTTGTTTACATAATTTTGTCTGAAATCATTCTTTCCCTTAAATATGGAACATACACATGAAACAGATCCAGAGAGTGCCCCGTCTCCACCCAGAAGGACTGCATTTAAGCAATCTAGGCACCTGTTATTCTGAGGACCTAAGACAGAATGAATCATTATTTAATGATAATAATCTCTACTAACAAGAAATTCTTCTAACCTAACTCCCTTGGCCCCCATTTTGAGCAAATAGCATTCTACTCAACATAATGCAAACCCCAAACTGAAATGAGCCTACAAAAGCTAACACTTGGCTGGGCGCGGTGGCTCATGCCTATAATCCCAGCACTCTGGGAGGCCGAGGCTGGGCGAATCACGAGGTCAGGAGTTTGAGACCAGCCTGGCTAACATAGTGAAACTCCTTTTGTACTGTAAAAATACAAAAATTAGCCAGGCATGGTGGTGCACGCCTGTAGTCTCAGCTACTCGGGAGGCTGAGGCAGGAGAATCGCTTGAACCCGGGGTGGAGGTTGCAGTGAGCTGAGATTGCACCACTGCACTCCAGCCTGGGTGACAGAGCGAGACTCCGTCTCAGAGGAAAAAAAAAAAAAGCTAACACTTTCTGAGCACCTACTATGTGCTGGCCACCGTGTGAGGGCATTTTAGTTCACTCAGCCCTAACAACAAACCCAGCAGATGGGTATTATCCAATTCTGATAGAAAAGGGCATGAAAAGTTTTAAAAAGTGTAGTTTTGCCCAAAGAGGCACCAGCTAGTCAAGTGAAGAGCTTGGATTCATCAAGAATATAAGTGAAAAAATTCCTACCAGATTGCTTCAACCAAAAACATTGCCAATTTTAGAGCACAGTCACGCATTACTTAATGACAACAAGGATACATTCTGAGAAATGCATTGTCAGGTGATTTTGTCATTGTTTGAACATCATAGAGTGTACTTACACAACCCTAGATGGTACAGCCTACTATACACCTAGGCTATGTGCGGTCTAGCCTGCTGCTCCTAGGCCAGAAACCTGTGTAGCGTGTGACTGTACTGAGTGCTGGAGGCAGCAGTAACACAGTGGTAAGGATTTGTGTATCTAAACATAGAAAAGAGGCAGTAAAAATATTGGTCAGGGGCAGTGGCTCACGCAGCATCTGGGAGGCTGAAGTGGGTGGATCACTCGAGGTCAGGAGTTCAAGATCAGCTTGGCCAACATGGTGAAACCCTGTCTCTACTAAAAATACAAAAATTAGCTGGGTGTGGTAGCAGGCACCTGTAATCTAGCTACTCAGGAGGCTGAGGCAAGGGAATCCCTTGAAACCGGGAGGTGGAGGCTGCAGTGAGCCGAGATCACACAACTGGACTCCAGCCTGAGTGACAGAGTAAGACCCAGTTTCAAAAAAAAAAAAAAAGGTATAATTTTATGGGACCATGGTCATATATACGCTATATGCAGTCTGCTGACTGAAACATTGTTACATGGCACATGACTGTATGTACATTTATGTTTACCTAATCTGACCCCCAAAAAATCACAAGCAGGGGACCCAAAGGTGACAAAAATGTGTACTATTGTGCAGCACATAGCATAATTTAAACTTCCTGAACCAAATTATTGCCAATTTGTAGGTATTACCACCCCTTTAAATTATAGCTTGAAGGAGGCTAGTTAATGCTATCACTAGAGAGTGGCTTTTGAAAAGTGTGCTCTAGACGTCAGAATCTGTGCTGTGGCCACCCTCAGTCTAAATACGCAATGTCACCTCCCCTGAAGCTACTTCAAAGGGTGAGTAGATCATCTGGAAGATGAGTAACACCTCATTAGAGTCATCTGTTTCACTGATATTGTCTGCTTTTAAATGATTTCTTTTCAATTTTGGCTGAGTGGAATTTTAATGAATCTTATCAAAATCATTAAAAAAACACACACACAACAAAGAAAAACCCAAGTATTCGGTCATGTCTTACATTAAATACTGTACGATAGGAAATGTTCTTATTCAGCCCAAGAACTTAACAGATATCCTAGTAAGGTCTCTTTAAAAGAAATGTGGCAGCTAGGTACCTTGGCATTGAGGGGACACACAGACAGAGCGCTTCTGAAAAGCTGTTCCTCACTCCGCCACTGGCCACTGCGCACCACGCATCTCAGCATGTTGATGAGTAAGATCCCCAGCACGACAGCAGCAATCAGTTTCTTAGAACAACAGAGAGACACGGTAAATGTCACCGGTGAGATGCGTCCGGTCGTTTTGTCCATCAATCAGCATCACTCTCGGTTGACACCTTTTTTTTTTTTTTTTTTTGAGACGGAGTCTCGCTCTGTCGCCCAGGCTGGAGTGCAGTGGCGCGATCTCGGCTCACTGAAAGCTCTGCCTCCCGGGTTTACGCCATTCTCCTGCCTCAGCCTCCCGAGTAGCTGGGACTACAGGCGCCCCCCCACCTCGCCCGGCTAATTTTTTGTATTTCTAGTAGAGATGGGGTTTCCCCATGTTGGCCAGGATGGTCTCGATCTCTTGATCTCGTGATCCACCGCCTTGGCCTCCCAAAGTACTGGGATTACAGGTGTGAGCCATCGCGCCCGGCGGCTGATACCTTTTTCTTGGTATGTTTGCTCAGGGCTCCAAATCCAAAAGTCAGCAGCACACAGTACCCAACGCTGGGGAGGTAGAGGACTCGCTCCGCGACCACGAATCCCACTCGGAAGAAGAGGTTACTCGCGGGGAGAAATGGGATAACGAGAAATCCCAGGCCCAGAGTAAGGATCCTGGATGATGAAAAGTATTTAAATAAATGGCTATTTCCAGACTTCTCAAAAAAAACGTCCTACTCCACATTAAATTAATGCTAAAGACCTTTTCTTTTCCATGGCATCAACAGAGAAAAGATATTGTTGTCAGCCAAAGGAGATCATCGGTAGAGAGAGTTTAGCATGTGGCAGCATGTGGATAAGGCATAAAAATATTCCTCAGGCACTTCACAGAGAGTCTAAAGGTAAAACTTAAAAGCTAGACAATTCGTGTGGAGAAAGTTAGAATGACCACATTTCTGAGGCCTTACTAATTCCTCTACTCCTTACTATGCCTCAACCCGTTTAGGTACTGAACAGTTCAGTGGACACTGTAGGTCTCAATTAATTCAAAAACTGTCCCAATCAGTTTTCATGGGGGAAACATTTTCCTCCAAAATGTAATGAGAATAATAACACTGAAGCAGTTTAAAGTTTATGAAATCTGAAATAAACAAATACCATTGTTTGGTTGCTACGTCACCATAAATTTCAGTCAGGGAGATAGGAAGTTGAGCACTGAAACACTTCTAGAACCACTTGATCATTCCCAATGTCCCCTATGATGCAAGAGGATGAATTAAGACTCTAGGTCCATTTTGGTGGCTCCTTCCTGGGCCCTGTGGCTACAGTATTTCTTTAAAAATCCCATTTCCTGTGGATAACGGAACGGGGACGAAAGTTTGTGGCTCTTTAGAATTACCAACCGATTTAAGACACAGGTAAACGTAAAACTTAATTTATTTTGAGAAATTACTAATTCCATAAACACTTAGGCTTAAAAGAAATCACCTTAAACAGTTTTCTTTTTCATGAAACACATTTGTTTTCCCCAATTATTTTCTCAATAACTTTTTTTTTTTCCCATCAAGAAAGAACAGTCTCTTTGGGGCAGTGGCTTGTTTTGTCCCCAGCAACAACAGAAGGAATCACGGCAGCGTTCACTGGGGTGTTTTAAGGAAGAATTGTGCAATAATGGGCACAACACACATCAATTACACTCTCTGTTCTGACCGTAAATTACTCTTTACCACCTATGGCGAAAAGGATCGCAAAATGCTACTTCCTGGGGAAAGGGGGAGGGAGGGATGAAGCAGTCATCCGTAGCCCCTCTTCCAGCCTCGCTCCCCACCCGCGGAAGCCAGCCATGGATTCCGAATGGTGGAACTCATCCTAGCCATAAATATGCATTTGAAACAAATGTCCTTAGATGTGACTTCCACAAAATCGTTAAAATGATCAGCGCAGGATTTCACAAAACGCTTCTGACTCAACCAGCGTGGAACTTAAGATTCAGTGCTGCCTCTTACCTTCTCTTGTGGCCGTCTTCAGAGCACAGGGCTTGGCATATTAGGCCAATTAGGCAGAACCAGAGTGCTGCAAGTGCAATTACCCTCCAGTCACTGACGGACTTAATGAGGGGGATGCAGCCCATTGACCAATCAAAACACAGCCACCAGGGACACAGCAGCAGCCAGGCATTCAATGAATAGTAGTAATTGTAGTTTACGGCCTGTCGGTCAAAAGGAAAACAAACATTTATTTGATACTGAACTTAAAAAACATATATATATGCACTAACTTCACTTTTGAGGCACTCATATGCTTCTGTTCAATGAAAGCAGTTGTATCAACTAAAACGTTGCCAACTTGTATTACAAGTTGTAATACAGGCTGTAGTCTGTAATGTGTTAAATGCATTCAGATTTTGGTATATAAAAATATGGCAAAGCCACCAGACTACGCAATACATTCATTATATTTCTGGCCAAGCTATGATCTCTTTGCTGCCTGAAGCCCATGACCTCTGAAATCTGAGGCCCCAGGGTCACCTATGCACCCAATAACATAACAGAGTTCGACGGCTGTTCTCTTGATTTTGGTCTCTATGAAATGCACAGCTAAGAATTTGTGGCTTGATACTCCTGCCTTAAGAAAAAAGGCAAATCTAAAAGAATAGTCTTATACCACTAGTCTTCTAAAGATACCAAGAAGGTTATATATTTAGTTTTAACCCAGCCGCAGGGTTAGGGAGCCCTTTCACGGGACTGGCAAGGACCCTTATGTGAGAAGGAACCACCCGCTTTACTCCTCGTTAGAACAGAAATGCAAAGAGCTTCCGCACGCCCTTTCAAGCCCCTCAGGAAGACCTGCTTTCATCCCAGAACATCTTCAGTGATCGCAAACAAACATGGAGGTGGCCCGTGTATTGGGGAGTCTGTTGGCGTGGAGGGGAGTGAGACGAGGAGGAGGGGTGAGGGATCTGGGAATCTGGTGGGGGAAGAAAACAGTCCAGGGAGTGGCAGGCTCCGAACTCACCCTCACCAGCATGCTGTCAGCAAAGGACGCCGGGTTGTCCACCTCGGTGAAGGCCGGCGGGCCCGTGCCCATGATCCTCCAGCGCACATACAGCATCCCAGCCCCTCCGGAGGTGAGCAGGGTCATTCTGAAGAGGAGGCCCCCGTTCCTGAGCATGCCGAGACTCTGCAAGGACACCGCAAAGCCCCAGAGGTGGCTGATTTTCAAATAAAAGTGTGGCTGAGCCAGGTACAGATGTGCAGCAATTCTGCCCGAACTACTTCAACACCGCGCTTTAAAAGGTTGGTTATTGTAGAATTCAGAATCACAAGGAATATTTGAAAATGGCATTTTAAATCAGCTGGTACTTGACATTTTCCATGTCTGGGCTGGAGATAAAAGTGCAGACTCACCTCTAATGACTTGTCCTTATGCAGTACCTTCTGGACAATTTCCAGAACATTGAATTTGCCTATCACCAAGATGTCAAATACTGCATTCAAACCCTAAGAAAGCAAAGCAAGACAATCAGCCACAGGAGAGTGTGGCTCTGTTAGGCAGCAATTAGACTTCACAATTTCATTACTCCATCTAGACAAGGAACACATAGAGAATCACGGAAGACCTCTGCAGCTCTCTAAAAAAACACAAAACAGCCCTCCTCCATTTCTATGAAATTAGCTCAAGGTAATAGATCATATTTATTATTTACTAAGCCCCTGATAGTAATGATTTCACAGTCTACGTGTAGGAGTTCTACAAGATTCAGGATAACTAGAAATTTGGGATTCCTAGAAAAAGCCCTCAAGAGATCCCTCCCCTCCGCTTCTTTTGGTCACTATAAAACAGTCCTTTAGTTCATGCAACAGACTCTTCTCCTGGGCAGTAATCATACTGGAAGATAAAGGCAGCCATCAACCTCAAAAACCCAGCCACGTAAGTGAACCTTAAGTGCCAGTGGACTTCGGCATCTTTATAAATGGGATGAACATACATGATAATCTCTGATGGAGCTCTGGAGATCTCTTGTGCAGAAATCTAGTTGTCTGGTAGTTTTCTCCCTGGGTTACAGCTAGATGACATCTCCCAGCCTCCCCTGCAGTTAAGCTAGGTCGCAGGGCTGAGTTCTAGCCTTATGGAATGTGGGAGAAGTGACGTGTACCATTTTGGAGGTTTGGTTGTAAAACTTGGGCACACATTCCCACATGGTTTCCCCTTCCAGCTGGCTGGAATGGAGATGCCCAAGGTGACTTTGGAAACCACACATTGATGAGAGCAGGCCTTTGCCAGGTGGGGCCGTGGTGTGGAGGATGGCTACCTCTATTAATTTACAGCTCTGCCCATGACCCATGAAGGGAACAACAACTTCAATTAGCTGTCCACCTATGTTAACAGTTTCCAATTGCACCACGATAGTTACTTTCTAGCAGGTAAAATTAAACCTGTAGTTACAGGCGAAAGCAGAGATGGGCCTTGGATTCTATTCTCTCTCCTGCAATGGACTTTCTACAAATGTCACTGCTGCAGGCAACGTCATCGACAGAACTCCCTGCTCAATCTGGATAACGTGGTCTGCACATGCTCAGTGGATATAGTTAGAGCTGCCCCTAAATGACTTGGGTCTCTTTAATATGCTCTTCTTTGCAGCAAAGGAGATCACACATCATCAGAAGTCAGTGGTAATTTGTGGTTTTCAGAGCAAGGATGACATCCCTACTTAACCCTCTCCCGGAAATGCTGGGAGCCACTAATTATCCGATACATGGGCCAGTGCTGGGTTAATCAGTTCAAAGAATCCTGATTTTATTCACCCATGTGAGACATGATCTTAGTGGGCCACAGAAGACGGTTTCCGCCTGGTTGAAAACCACTTTCTAGAAGGCAGATGCTCCCTGTGTAGCAGCCACTGTCTTCTCACAGTCTTCCTGTGAGCTGCAGGACAGTTACCAAGGGAAGGCAGGGTCATGTGGTGAACAGGCCTGAGCCAAACACAAGACTGCCCCCTTCCCTCTTAAATGCTTCATCAAAATGGCCCCATTTTAATCCAATTTTGAGAATAGCTACCTTCCACTGTATCTTTATTCATGTAAATTCAACCGAATTCTCTCCTGCTCCTGAAAAACGGCACAGAGGAGGCCAGGTGCAGTGGCTCATGCCTATAATCCCAGCACTTCGGGAGGCTGAGGTGGGTGGATCACCTGAGGTCAGGAGTTTGAGACCAGCCTGGCCAACATGGTAAAACCCCATCTCCACTAAAAATACAAAAATTAGTCGGGCGTGGTGGCACATGCCTGTAATCCCAGCTACTCAGGAGGCTGAGGCAGGAGAATCGCTTGAACCCGGTAGGCGGAGGTTGCAGTGAGCTGAGACTGCACCACTGCACTCCGGCGAGAGCGACAAGAGAGAACCCTGTCTCGAATAAAAATAAAAATAAAAATAAAAAATAAAATAAAATAAAATAAAATACTGCACAGAGGAGCCTCCTGAGGATCTTGTGGAGGGAAATTCTTACTCAGCAGGCCTGGGGAGGGGGTGGGGCCTGGGATCCTGAATTCCCAACCATGCTCCCAGATATTGCTGATGCTTCTGGTCCTCAAACCACACTTCATATTAGGGAAAGGTTCTAAAACCAGTGGTTCTCAGGGAGGGTTGTGCCCCCCAGGGGGTGTCTGGCACTGTCTGGAGACATTTTAGGTTGTCACAACTGAGAGGTTCCACTGGCACCCAGTACGTAGAGGCCAGGGACGCCGCTAAACATCCCACAAAGCCCAGAATAGCCCCCACGAGAAAGAATTGTCTGCTGTAAAACATTAATAGTCCCAAGGTTGAGAAACACTGTTTTAGAGCAAATTTAAAGAAAATTAACTCAGAAATTCAAGTATCTTTCCACGGTAATTCTCCCTATACCATCTCCTTGCTAGCTTAATCTTAATAGATACAACCTAATACAACTACTGATTTTTGCCTTGACTTGTATCAAGCCCCAAACAGCTTTAATTGTTCTTTCCTTTCCAAGCTATTTCTATATGATCATTCTAATCCCACGACTCGGCCAGGCACGATGGCTCATGCCTGTAATCCCAAGGCTAGGAGTTTGAGACCAGTCTGGCCAACACAGGGAGACCCCATCTCCACAAAAAAATTTTAGAAAATTAGCCGAGGTGGTGGCATGCACCTACAGTACCAGCTACTTGGGAGGCTGAGGTGGGAGGATCGTTGAGGCTGCAGTGAGCTATAATCGTGCCACCGCCCTCCAGCCAGGGTGACAGAGCGAGACTTTGTCTCGAAAAAAAAAAAAAAGGAGAAAAAATTCCACATCTTTCCATTTTTCTACCTCTGTTCACAACCTTAACTTCTATATTTTCTTCTAAAAATGTAAAGCAGCAAACTGGTTAGAATGGAGAAAAAGAAAAAAGGATTTCAACACCTCTCCTTTCCTGGGTCTTTAATCCTAGCTTCTACTCAGATCGGACTGAAAAGGTAGATGTCTTTCCGCTTCAGAGAGCTCTCTCCCCGACCCGCTCGACGCTGCCGGTGGAAGCCGAGGTACAGGTTCTCTCCAGGAAAACAACATACCCCAAGAGAATACAGTGTATGCACCATATTACACAGAGAGAGACTTCAAGGCTCGAAGTTAAAACACGTGATTACTCGGCACATCTGGCATAAAAAGAGTCTTCTGAGAACAAAGTCCCACTAGAAACATTAGCAGCATTACAGATTCTCCTTTAAATACTAGTTAGTAATCTTTTAATTTCAGGTCAAACATTTGTGACCATGGAACATTTTGGTTCCAGCGTTGCTTGAAGTTGCACTTGGGTAATGGTTAACTATAACCATAGGTAACTGCTGGCGGTGGGGGAATGATAAGAGAGACAGAATGTGTGTGCACGTGAGGCTTTGAGTGGCTGCAAAACTCTTGTTCCTTCATCTCTTACTTTTTTTTTTTTTTGGACACATAGTTTCGCTGTTGTTGTCCAAGCTGGAGTGCAATGGCATGATCTTGGCTCACCGCAACCTCCGCCTCCCAGGTTCAAGCGATTCGCCTGCCTCAGCCTCCTGAGTAGCTGGGATTATATGCATGTGCCACTGCACCTGGCTAATTTTGTATTTTTAGTAGAGATGGGGTTTCTCCATGTTGGTCAGGCTGGTCTTGAACTCCTGACCTCAGGTGATCCACCCGCCTCGGCCTCCCAAAGTTCTGGGATTACAAGCGTGAGCCATGGCGCCCCGCCCTGTTTCTTCATTACTAAACTATCCGCCACCCTTTCTAGATCTGAGATCAAAACGATTGATGAAGTCAGTCCTAGGTGATCTAGGACTGCTGAAATATGTACGAGCATCCCAGAAAACTCAAACCATTCTTTTATCTCTTTCGATAGGGCCTCTCAAGAGGACTCATCGTGGCTCCCTGAGAACTCCTCATTCACCATTTCTCGCCAGTTGCACATGACTGTCAAGGAAGACAGTCAGTTCTCCATCTGAAATGCCAGAATTGTGACAGCGAAAGTCATTTGCCCAGAAAGGTCATCACCTCAGGCCAGCAATGGGATGAAGGCGTGGAGAATGCCACAAGGGCAGGGCCAGCCCCAGATGTCTTTATAGGAGGGAAAAGGATACACAGAAAAAGCAGGCCCCGGTGGCCATGTCGCGGCTCTCACCAGCACGGTGATCCCTTGCTCTTTGCACAGCATGGCCACTGCTCCTAGGAAGATACTCAGCAGCACCCAGAAGGTGGAAGAATACGTTCCCTCCTTGTTACCTGCCAATTAAGAGAAATGATCAGTGCAAAAGTCATGGAATGCAGCTCAGTTTTTTAGCATCAGGAACTAAAATTCTAAGCAAATACCTTAAACAACCGTAACTTAAAAACAGGGTTTGGGCTTCAGACAGCACTTCTCTGTGGGCAAGAGTGCATTAGACAATACCTTCTAAATGGTACATATGTCCCCTCTCAAAGCTCTCCCAAGGAGGTGCCCAGGGCCTTTGGGAGGCACCGTCATGAAGCCCTGGCCACAAAGACACCTCATGCCAGAGTCCCCATGCAGCAGGTACCTCGTTCCCAACCTACCAATCACCTGCGAGACCATTCTGATGAGTCTTTTTGAGAACTCCCACTGAGACTGCAAACAGTCCATCTGGTTTCAAGATGCCCCCAGTGGTCACTGCTGCTGTCATGATGGAGCTGCTGGGAAAGCCTCTGGGAATCTCCATTCCTCCTGGAACGGGAGTTCGGGCCCTCTGGACACCAGGTGGCTTAGAATGGATCTGCCCTGCTCCCTGTGTGGAACAGCTCCAACCTCTACCAAAGGGTGCACGGCCACTGACAGAGCTGGCGCCTAGCTAGCACCTGGGGCAGGTAAAGACACAGACCGGGCTGGGCTGCCAATCTGCACGGGGGCTCGAGCACCAACAAGAAGCCAAAACATCCCCAGACGTGTGAACACTGTAAGAAGCTGGGCTGGGCGGCAGCTCGAGTAACCACCGCTGGTCCCTAAGTGGCCTTCTGGGAGCAGGGTCTGGCTGTACACTGTCTGGTCAGTGGTGTGTGCAATTTGGGGGCCAGAACTAAACTGCTAGGGAGGAGAGGGAAGCTGCATGGATATTCCTCTCTGTTGCGAAGCCCTCATTCTTCATCTAAATAAATAAGCCAACATATAAAAAAGACATCGGTATCAAGTGAGACAAAAGCGAACTTTCTTGGAGAATCCAATTGTTAGCTCGCCTGGCATTACTCGGTTCAATTCTGCTTACAACTAGAACTCCCAGTCTGAATGCCTATGGCTCTACGTAAGCATCTAAATGCCAGCTGTGCCACTCACTGTGTGACACTGGGCAAGTGACTTTCACGGTCTCAAGGAACTCACCTATAACGTGGGGGCAACGTTACCAACCTCAGGATATATTTGAAAGGAAAAAATTACACAGGAACACCTGGTCATTTTTGTTAAACACTCATAAAGAATGCTTGCAAATGCAAAATATATCTCTATGACAACACATAAGAAATTGACTAGTTTCTAAGAAGTTCTAAAATGAAGAATTGGGGTAGAGGAGGAAGAAAGTTTACTTTTAGTCTTACTTTTCATTACATAACCTTCAGTACTCTTTACATTATCTTAACCATGTGCATGTATTAAAAAACTATGTTAAAAACTAAACATGTTAAAAATCACTTGGTATAATGCTGGGACTACAGAAATCATTTAATTAATGTTTGTGGCACTTGGGTCAGTCAAACCTGATCAGCTTAGAGGGAGATGCAATTTCCAGTGGGGTTTTGATGCAGTAGTCAAGGGGGTGGCTGATCAGCCACAATCTGCCAGACAACTGGATCGTGTAAAAAATACACCGTGAGCTCATTAAACTGCCTGCTGGGGAAATTAACAAGTGTTTGTGTGTGTCCTGCAGACCCTGCATGGAGGGACAGAAAAATACTTGTGAATACTTGAGACAGAATCAGCAACACCCCAGGATGGAAGGTCTTCCTGTCCCAAAAACAGCCAGTGTGTTCTGGCTTGGGGGTGGGAGGCGCTCCTTTTTTTTTCTTTTTTTTTTTTAAGGCGGAGTCTCGTTCTGTTGCCCAAGCTGGAGTGCAGTGGCGTGATGTTGGCTCACTGCAAGCTCCGCCTCCCGGGTTCATACCATTCTCCTGCCTCAGCCTCCTGAATAGCTGGGACTACAGGCGCCCGCCACCACACATGGCTAATTTTTTGTATTTTTAGTAGAAACGGGGTTTCACCATGTTAGCCAGGATGGTCTCGATCTCCTGACCTCGTGATCCACCCACCTCGGCCTCCCAAAGCACTGGGATTACAGGCGTGAGCCATTGCACCCGGCTGGGAGGTGCTCTTAACCTCAAATGCTCTACATTGGGGTTGAGACCCTGTCAGGATGAGAAGGCCTGTCCCCAGCTGGGCCCCTGGCTCTCAATAAAGCATGAGCAGGACTAACTCCTGATGTGCCCAACACCTGCAGCCTGCAGGACCAGCTACACGGCTGGGCTGCTGGGACAGCCTCCTCACTCCCACACAGGCTTCAGCGACAGCAGAGACTCTGGCCCTTTCAGCTTTCTGGGGGAAGAATCTGTGTATCAAATTTCTAGATTTAAAATACAAACAAATGGAATAGCTATTATACAAAAAGTTGACTTGGCCATTATAGTTGAGGCACTTAATTAAAAGCTTTTCACAAGGCCAACTGATCGACAGGAAAGCCTCTTAACTGAGATCCCATTGTCTCATAAAACACAATGAACATTCTTTTTTCTTTTTTTTTGAGATGGAGTATTGTCCTGTCACCCAGGCTGGAATGCAATGGCGCGATCTCACCTCACTGCAACCTCTGCCTCCCGGGTTCAAGAAACTCTCCTGCCTCAGCCTCCCGAGTAGCTGAGACTACAGGTGCATGCTACCATGCCTGGCTAATTTTTGTATTTTTAGTAGAGACGGGGTTTCACCATGTTGGCCAGTCTGGTCCCAAACTCCTGACCTTGTGATCCACCTGCCTAGGCCTCCAAAGTGCTGGGATTACAGGCATGAGTCACTGAGCCCGGCCTGAACATTCTTGTTTTATGCCTTCCAATTATCTCTTTTGCCTTCAGGATAATGGTTCCTCTTCTGACTGTGGCTTTAAAGGCCTTGCTGAAGTGGCCACCACGGGCCCTCTCCGGCCCCTCCCAGCACACACTCACTCCAGGCCCACCACCACTGCCCACTTGCAGGTTCTCACCTGGGTGTGCTTACTGAGTTCCCTTGGGGCAGAACAGTCCTGGAGGAATCCTACCCAATCAATAAAGCTGTTAAATGTCACTTATGCTGTGAAATGCCAAACCCCGCCCTCTCAGGCAGGTCTCTCTGCAATTCACTTGTTTCCTTCCTCAGTTAAAAGAGCAAACACCCCTGCTGTATGCACACCTGACTGCCCCGTGAGCAGGTGAGCCCCGTTCACCTCTCCATGTCCCGACTGCCCCTATGAGAAGGTGAGCCCGTTCACCTCTCCATGTCCCTGACTGCCCCCCTAGATTAGGTTAGGCCCAGCTGTGGTGCTCTAAACTGCCCTGATCGCAGTCTATCAAAACATTCCTCATGGAGTTTATCGCCAGCACTTGATTTTCTGTCATTCCCGAGTCAAGGTTCTCTCCACCTTGGCATTAATCACATGTGGGCTGCTTACTTTTTTTGGAGGGGGGTTGCCCTGTGCATCACAGGATGTTTAGCAGTACCCCCAGCTTCTACCCATCAGAGGCCAGTGGCACCACCCCCCACAGCTCCCTTCAGTGGTGACAAATAAAAATGTCACAGATATTGTCAGACGTGAGTAGGGGCGTGGGGAGGGCAGGAAATCCCTCCCAGTTGAGAACCATTGCCCTAAACCAGTGCTACTCACAGGTGTGTGGTTCACGAACCTGCACCTGGATCTTGTTAGACTCAGGCCCCAGATGAATCAGAAATTGAGGATGGGAACCAGTAATCAGCCTTTAACAAGCTTTCCAGGTGGCTCTGATGCTCCCTAAAGGCAGGGTGCACCCCCTTGAGAGTAAGCCTGCTCATGGCTGGACGGTTGGCACCACGCCTGGCTCGTAGGAGCAACTAAAAATTATTCTGACTGAATCAGCAGGCCCGACTGACTCTGGAAGGGCAGAACATGTTCAGTAAGTGAAGTGACTATCTACTCTCTATCAAAAGGGGTGCAATAAGCTTTGAGCTCCCGACAACTCATGGAAACGGAGGGGTCAACACTGCTTCTTAGAGGCTGTGCATCATCTCTCCTGCAAGGATGGAAATGCTGGAATCCCTTCCAAGATGCTTCCAGCAGGGGGCCACCTGGTCTTGACTTGAGGAACTTCAGTGATGGGGATTAATTTTCAAACCACAACCCGTTTCATTTTTAAACTCTGGGTTGCTAGATTATTCTAAATGCTGAGCCCAAGCCAGACTCCCTAAACTTCAGGCCTTAGTTGTGCCCTTGGGCAGCGCTGCTCCAAGTTGTTCGGGAGGCGTGGAGCCCAGAAGCCAGGCTCCCGCCACTGAAAACCATTATACATGAGTATTCTTGGATCCATCAAGCAAAGTAAGGATATTTTATTTGCAGAAAGTAATTACTTTCTATGTATCTAATGCCAAAAGATCACAATAAGGAGCCACGACAACAACAAAACCCTTTCAAATTACACGCAATTCCAACTTGAGCACTTACGGATTTATTGTTTCATGTGGGCATTTGCTAGCACTCATTGGCAGATAAGTATTGGCAGGCACTAAAGCTTTAAGAAAAAAAATAGCCAAAACAACCCAAAAGCTAACAGATTGATGAATTATTTTCGGCTATGATTTGGGGAAAGGGCCACAAGCTTTAGGGGGAGAGCACAGCGTCCAGCTTACAAGTTCATGCCAGAGCCTGGGAAGTCCAGGCCTTCCGCCACGTCATGAGAGATGGGGGGCTTTGTCCACTCAGTCTCAGGGTACAGCCCCTCTTCCCATGACACGTTTTCCTGAGTCTGGGTCAAACTACCTTTAGGATTTTCTCCTATTAGCAGTTTATTTGCAAACAAAACTTTTAATTATAAATGACCTGATTAATTACCATGGGATCTCATCCAGAGATAAACAGGGCAAGAGACCCCGGGCCCCCGCTGGCCACTCTAGACCCAGCATGAGGAGATGGTGCCATGGCTGGGCTCCATCCATTGTTTTCCAGTTGACTAGGCGCTCGGCTCCATGGCTCACTAGAAACCAAATGGACACCCTCCACCCCACCCCA